GCAATCATCTTTTTTTTTGGGTTGATGCGCCTCGTCCTGGTCAACATCGCAAACTTTCTCCCAAGATAACCTCCGAATATGAAATCACCGCAAGATACGAGGATAGAAATTATTTCGTAGTATCACAGCACTTCCCCGAACTATTGGGAACATCTCTCATATTCATATATTGTAATAAATATACATTAATTTATAAGTGTTAGCACTAACTAATATTATCAAAAATAAAGACCAAAAAATTTAAAAATATATTTTTTTAATTATTTAAATATACCTTCAAAGGAATAACAAAACCCGATAGTGTATATGAATATGGCTTTGTTGGATGATTGCACATATGATCCTCAAATCTTTTAAACATTCCCGACAATCTAGGGTACGTTTTAGACCATAGATAACTCCCCCAAGAGAACCTATATTATATACAAAAGTATTAGTTAAACATATAAAAAATAGTATTTTATTATAGATATTAAATTGACAAATACATATTCCATTGATCCAAGTTCTTCACCACCTACAAAAATTCCTTGGTGACTTTATCATTGGACTCTTTTTTCCCAAAAAAAACATTGATTGACAATATATAGCAAAATGGCACGGACACCGTCGTGAGCTGATATATCATTGAACCGTTGATTCATGATAAGGAGCTCTAAATCTTCTACAAGTAAACTAGTGTCCATGCGATATGGGAAGACTCTTGACCGAAATGTATTTTCATCGTATTCGTGTTTATACATAGTAGAAAATTCGATCCTTGATCTAGGACACTGGCCCATGTAAAGTCCGGACACAATACAAAACTCCTCGAGCCCAAATGACAATGCACGTTTAGAAAACCCAAAATGTAGACGCTCAGTTGCGTCCGTTTCAACAGTAGGGCGCAACATATGCAATAACAACCCATGAATAAGAAGTCCGTCTCCGGAATGAGCTGACAGGTCCAACAAGTAACCGAAGCTAGTTGTTGAAAAAATCTCTCACACTGGTCCGTTCAAGCCACTCAAAACTCCATGTAACTTATGACATGAAGCTTTGACAGATATGTTACACATCATCATTTTGTTTGGAAGCTACAAAATTAAATAAAAATTAAGGTTAAATAATGTTTTATAAAAGAAAAACAGTGTTAAAGAAGTAGAGAAATCACACAATATAACACTTAATCATTTCATATATTCTATTTACTTTGTATAAAATACCAAAGTAAATGAATTGACAACATTTTTGTATTTTCTATACTAATAGTATATCAAATATAGCATTGTACTTTGAAAATGGTGTGACAATAACATATTTTATAACAAACCCGAAACTACCAAAACACAATGTTATTTTATCAATACATTATACTTCAAAGTATCTACCAATTATAATGTAACATCCTCAAAATACGACCCAAAAATTTTCGTTTTGTAATACTAAAAATCATACTACTGAAAGCCATAATATAAAATGTACGTCATAAATCTCAAAAACATAATAAAATGTATCGTATCAAACTGAATCAATCATATGAAAATGTCTAATCAAAACTCCCAGGAAAAACTGTTGAAGTTGTGGTGTGTGCGATGCTATCATCCCGAACTCTTCCCTTTGCTTGCGGAAGTACCTGAAACCAAAACTGAAACTGTAAGCACGAAGCTTAGTGAGCTCCCCCAAACTACCACATACCATACAAAACATATAAATCACATACCGGGCCTTGCCCACTGCATCGGACCGAAGTCCGGAAACTGCATCGGACCGAAGTCCGGAACTATCTGGGGCCTTGCCCCTGCATCGGACCGAAGTCCAGAACTATCTGGGGCCTTGCCCCCTGCATCGGACCGAAGTCCGTAAACTGCATCGGACCGAAATCTGGAACTAACTGCATCGGACCGAAGTCCGGAACTGACTGGGACCATGTCCCCTGCATTGGACCGAAGTCCGGAAACTGCATCGGACCGAAGTCCGGAACTAACTGCATCAGACCGAAGTGTGGAACTGACTGAGCATAGAATAGCATAAACATAGCAAACAATATAAACACTAATACTGCATACTGCATCGGACCGAAGTCCGGAACACATAACACAAAACCCCGCCTGAATCACAAAGACCTCAGACAGACTAACTACTGCATCGGACCGAAGTCCGGAAACTACTGCTAACTAAACGGGTCGGCATTGTGGTCGTAGACCCGTTCCTACTGGAAGGAAACTCACCTCGTAAACTGGCTGCTGAATGAACGGCTCTGGAAACTATCTGCTGCTGCTCCGGTATCTCCCCGACTACAATTCCATAAGCACACTCAATCAAATACTGATAACTATACTGAGGGTAAAATGACTCTTTTACCCCTGGCCAAAGTCAACGCTCTTGGTCAAAGCCAACCTACAGTTGACCTGACTCGTCGAGTTGGGCCGCCAACTCGTCGAGTCCCTACTCTCACTTCTCATCTCTGCCCGCTACTACTCGTCAAGTTTGGCATCGACTCGACGAGTTCCTCTTCGATACTAATACTCAGACCATCTGCATCCGACTCGCCGAGTTGTATAAACAACTCGTCGAGTCTGTTCTTGAGATAAGAAGATTGCCTTGGACTCGCCGAGTTGTATGAACAACTCGTCGAGTCCCTCCATTATTGAGTCTGACCTCGAACTCACTGAGTCCACCCTATAACTCACTGGCCCCCACTCGGAATCACTCAAAAGGGGAAAATTGGGGACTCGCGACTCGACTCGCCGAGTCTGAAGAACGACTCGCCGAGTCGCATGCATGCAGTTACTAAAAACTCGATTCTGCTTGAATCCAGTGCATGCAACTTATAGATTTGGGTTCCTTAGGCTCGATTAACACGTAAAGATTCCATCTTTACGTGCACATAGGTGTCCATGAAGATTAAAAGGCTCAAAATGCATTAGAAAGGGTAGATCTAGGGTTTTCATACAAAACAACTCCATAAAGACAGTAGATCTGGGCTCTAAAGCTCCTATATGGACAGATCTAGTGACTACTCGACCCATCAATGCATTTATACTACTACTAAGCTTGGAAATGGATCAAAACTAGTTTTAATGGTGTTCTAATGGGGATTTAAGCATAGAAACAGAATAGATCTGAGTTGTACCTCAATAAGCTCTGATTTAGGCCCTAGATCCTTGCTCTTCACTTTCTCCTTTGGTCCTTCCTTCTTTCTCTTCTTCAATCTTCAAAGATTAACCACAAAAACACTTTAAATCATAAGGAGAGGATTACGGTTTGCTAAAATGTATTCTGAGGGTGAAGGAGGCGAGTTTGGGGCTCATAACATGGTTTAAATAGGGTGCAAACCCGGGGATTTAGGGTTTCTTCCAGACTGGTGGACTCGTCGAGTCCCGAATATGGACTCGTCGAGTCGCCAACTTAAACGTGTTCGAAATCCCGTCGCTACTCGACGAGTCGGGCTACTGACTCGTCGAGTCCCTCTTGAAAACTCTAAAAATAAACATTTAAATAACATACCAGAAACGGGACGTTACATATAAACATAGAAAATTCATCAAATAGATAGTACATTGCTATTGTATGCTATAATCGAGACATAGAAAATAACATACTTTATCACAAAATGGAAACATGGAATCATAACATATATACAATCGCTAAAATTTCGTAGAACCATTTTTTTTAAATGAAAAAAAAAATTAAAAACTGTAGGTTTAAACCTACAGTTTCATTTTTTTCCAAAAAAAATCACGGAATTGACAATATATACAAGTGTTTATTGGTTATAACGTTTTTTTTAAATCTGAAAAAAATAAAAAAACCTACGGTTTCGTAATTTTTCTTTAACTTTTATGAAAAAAAAAATCATGAAATAATAACATATATAATTCCTTTCATGTTGCATCAAATTTTAAAAAAAAAACGAAAAAGAAAAATTTCCGTACACTTAATACGAAACCGTAGGTGTACAAGTCCACACTGCACAATCTGTGCATTGTGGACTTGTACACTACGGTTTCATATGAAACATACGGTTTTTTTTTTCGGTTTTTTTCAAAAAAAAGAAAAAAAAAAAAAAACCTTAACTCCACATACAAAAACTACTCCTAATCAAGAACACGGTAAATTTTTGATGAAAAATAGACAAACCTTGTTTTTCTTCGGGTGCTCTATTGAGAGAAAAAAGTAGGCAAACCAACAGAACAATAATGAAAAATACTCTAATCTGAAAAATTAAACATTATACACTTTGGGCTAATGGACCATAAAAAAATAAACGGGCCGTGAAACAATAGCCAACTGCCATGAAATAGTAGGTTTCAACCGTTGACCAATGCCAACGCCCTTTGACCGTAATCAACCATGTCTAAACTATTATTTTGTGGGCTAGTTTTGCCATAATGTGTTTTTTTTTTTTTGCTAAGTTTTGATAGGTAGTTAGTGATTTTGGTTAGATTAGTATTTTTCCTCATTATTATTACCCCTAAAAAATAGGCATTCTATATTATTGATTATTCTTTTTTTGTATATTTAAGTTACGTGATTAGTTGTAGTTATGGTTGGTTTCATTATCTTAAGAGGCTTAGATTATACACATTTATGCTACACTAGGTTATAACCCGTGGAAACCACGGATGAGAAAGGCTTAGATTATACACATTTATGCTACACTAGGTTATAACCCGTGGAAACCACGGATGAGAAATGGAAAAAAAAATTACAAATAAATCATACGGTTACTTCCAATTTGATATTCATAAAGAGATCCACCTGAGATACAAAATGAAATGACAATAAAACATCACTGGTCCATACCAGCTGCATAAACCTTGATAATCAAATTTAATATTTTTTAGTTACAAAACCAACTACCATCAAGTTAGTCCACACCTCTGACTTGACTTCAAATATAATAATACATTTACATAAAAACTTTAAATTAACCATTTTAACTTCAAATACAGTTACACTAAGAGCTTGAACATCATGATCAGAAGCTAAAATAAACCATGTAGAAGTTTATCATTCATTTCTCCAAGTCCAACTACATCAAAAGTTCAAGCATTTTAGTATAATTTGCAAAAGTAAAGTACTCGCCTCAAAAAGAATTTAGTCAAAAATATAAAAAATGACCAGGAAGCACAATAAAAAAATTATAAAGATAGAACAGGAAGCACAATCGTACCACTTTACTGAAATTAGAAGCCATACCCTCGCAGGAAAATTAGCCCCGAATCCAGCACCACTCTTCCTGCTAGTTTCGGTTCATGGAAGTCTGAATAGTGAATCTGTTTAAAATTTATTTGATCTACAGTTTAGTATAACAAATTCTTGCACACAAATTTTCTATTTTGAATCGTCTCTTAACGCACCCAAATACAACCATATTTTGATATTCTATAACATTTTTGGTACTTGGATGTTCAATTTTCACATATTATCTGTTATTTTTTTAAATGACCATTTTGCCCTCATCTTCTTTTCTTTCTTTTGATGTTCAAGAATCATAATTAAACCCTTAAAACAAAAACAATAACTCTTTATTGTCCAGAAAAATTAAAACAAACTAAAACCAAAATTATAGATTAAGAGTAGTCAGTCCAAACATCAATTTTCATCCGCAGTAGCACATAAACATTGCTAAACCCTGAACACAACTACCTACCTGGATATTCATCGTGGTCTCTTTTGCCGCCACTTCATCTGAAATAAGTCACATAATTATGAAAAATATCAAAAAGAGGAAATGGAGTAAAAGTTTTCACCTTTAGCTTCAGAGAAAACCTAACAAAATAATATATCATGATTTCTTTATTGCTTGATGCAATTTGTTAGAGGTCAGACCATCTATCTCACAATTTCTTGAACCTCCCTCATCATTTATTTATGAGCCTTCTTAGTTGAAACTTGAAACTCTGTAATCAAATAACGACCATAAAAACTGACATAGTGTTGAGGTTTTATTAAAAAAACACACAAGTTCATCATAATTACACCTTAGACAATATAAAATCAGAACCCAAAATGTAGATTCTAAAAGATCAAAATGAATGAAACCAAAACCTTTACATACATAGACTGCACTTCAATAATTGAAAAATCAAGAGTATTGGACCTAGATATTTGATCAATAGTCAATAAAAATAATAAGTATACATGAAAGAAAAGAGGCGATTCATGAATGAATTATAATTTGTCTGGCATAAACAAATGATGCTTACAATTCATGAATGAATTATAATTTGTCTGGCATAAACAAATGATGCTTACAGATGCTATATGGCTAGAAAAAAAAACCAAAAGCATATATCATGAATATTTGATAACAATATTGGATTTTCTTCATAAGAACATTTTGTCCCCAAAAAAGTTCAAGCAAAAATTTATAGAAGATTTCAGGGGGTCATTGCGTCTTTATCCTATGAGTTAACTGAAAGAAATAAAAGATATATACCACCCTTTTTTCCATACTATAGCCTTGTACATTCATTAAAACATTAGACATTCAAATAACATTTGGACATTCTACATGGATGATGGCATGGCATAAAAACTTGTAATAAAGAAAATACATTCCCATTTCGCAATCCTAAAACTTTCAAATTTAAGATTATTTATCAATTACCACAATCTGATTTGAATATTTTTTTTTTCAGAATTAAGATGGAGAAACTACAAAAATAAACTCTATGCATAAGATGTGAAATGCATACCCACTTCCATATGTATCAAAATGCTAAAATGCTTTGTACAAATCTTCTTCACAATATAGTTGGTGTATAATGATTGTTGTTGTGATGAACTCCATTCATCCATTTCCATGCACATCGGCCTGTAACAGTAACAGTTACGTAAGTCAAAACCAACATTATATGACAATCTTAAAATCTTGAAAGTTAGAAAAAGCATACAACAACCATGAGTTGTCTAGCTTCAGACTTACCCGTGTCTAGCCAATCCAGTTTTAATTTCATGTGATTGTGCCACTTTTTTCCCGTCCATGTTCATAAACATCGATTTTAGCCCTTGGATTTCACAAGCTGATATTTCCAGCAATGACCTAAAGAAATTTATTAAAAATTATGCTCGTTGCACAATTAGGGTTAAGATGTATACTGGAGTATGAGGAAGTTGTGTTATTAACAAAACCTTAGAGATCGATTTTCTCGAGTTTGTTGATGGCTCGAAATTGCTTCACCCTAAAGGGTTGCACCGTTGACTGTTGATTGACTTGTCTGATGCTCCTCCATCTTCTCTAATCCATGGATGCTCTGTATAATCTCAAAACATGAATGGTATTAGTATTGTAATAATGTTATGAAGATGAAAATTTGAAAAAAAGAATTTCGAATCCCAAAATAACTGAAAAGGGGGAAATCGAATCTGTGAAGAGAATTAATATTATGAAAGAGATTAATTGTACACCACCAGAAATCAATGTTTGATAGAAGGGACTGAGATAGAAGAAAACTAAGTTGAAAGAGACAAAATTTAAACACAAAAATGTGTAAAAATCAGACAAGTTCAAACCTGATGCTCTCCGCTTAGGTTTGAAGCACATAGATTTCAGAGGATCTTCATCTATAGAGTATCAAGAAGAGAAAGAGGCACAAGTGAAATGTCAGATGATAAATGATTTCAGGATCGAGATAGGGGGCATCAGTGAGGTCCTAGGGTTTAGTGAGGAGCTTCGGCTTATGAAAAGGGAGGAGATGTATAAATCTTCAGAGAAGAAGATACGATATGGCGTTATACATTTCATAAAATCATTTTGCTGATCTATAGGCGTCAGTTTAGAAAGTTCCTGATTTTATGCAATCTAATTAGGAAATTGGAAATTGAGATTTTGAGCGGGAAATTAAGAGAAGATCGGTATAGAAAAAGCGACACGTGGCAACATGTTTTCCAGAACGATGATAAGTGTCAATTTTAGGAGTGTTTTATTAGAAGAGGGGATTTGGTAACATTTATTGAAAACCCTCCTTCGGTGAATTAGGTTGTTTTGGCGTTTTCTGCAAATTTAGGTATTTTAATTTATAAATAAATAAATAATAACTTATGGTAAATGTTTGTTAAAATGTTGGTTTATAAATTAGTTTATAAATTATGATAAATTGTTAATATTAACTTAGGAAAATTTAAATAAATTATAAAAAAGAAAAACTACATATTTTGATTCTATTTACAAAAAAGTCTTCATTTATTTTATTTATTTTAATTTAACCATTAAAATTGGTAAACACTTTTAAATTACAGTTGTAACCGGTTTTAAGGATTAATTTAAAAACAAAAAATCCTTAATTACTTTTTCGATAATAAGATTAAAGTTTGTGATAAATTGTTAATATTAAAGACTTTTTCGTTAATAAGATTAAATTGCAATTTAACCCTTAAAACTGACACTAACCGGTTACAAGACTTATTTTGCAAGTGTTTATCGGTTTTAATGGTTAAATTGCAAAAAAAAAAATGAAGGGTGACTTTTTTTCTATAACATCCCGGAATATCAAGAGTATGGTTGAAGGGCTAAAAGAGTAAATTGGGAAGGGGAACTCGGCGAGTCCATGGGTGGACTCGGCGAGTCAGCGGATGGACTCGGCGAGTAGGCGCTGAGTGGAGAAAACCCTAAATCCGGAGGATGAGCCCTATTTAAAGGACATTATACCCTCTCCCCAGCCTTTTTACCCTCTGTAGAAGTCCAGAAAGCCCTAAGGCGCGAATTTGAGGGAGTAAAGTGCATTTGGGGCTTGGGGAAGTGATTGATGAAGAAATCTTGAAGGAGAAGAGACTTGGATCAAAGGGCTTTGCAAGGATTCAGATTAACCTTCTCTTGGAGCTTCCTTTTGAGGTATTATTTCATTGTTTGAGCTGCTATTATCTAGATTCATCATTTTTGGAGGTGTTAGAGATCATATCTTTTGATGTAGTGGAGTTTAGAGGTTAAATCTGAGGTTGCTACCTCAGATCTGGAATGGAGAAGGGTTAGAATGCATAAAAGTCCCTGTTTTTGAGTGATTGATGGAACTATCTTGTCCCAAACCCAAACCCTAGAGTGAAAATGCCTAGATCTCCTTGGATTCACGTAAAGATTGCCACTTTACGTGATGGATGGCCTTAGGAGGGGTAGATCTATGGTTTGGATCATCTGCATGGCTTGGAAAGCCTCTGTATGGATTCAGACCCGGTGGTACTCGGCGAGTCATATGGGTAGACTCGGCGAGTTGCTTGAAGAAAGGCTGGAACTCGGCGAGTTGGAAGAACAACTCGGCGAGTTGGATGAAGATGGCCTGGAACTCGGCGAGTTGTAAGAACAACTCGGCGAGTAGGTTGAAGATAGTCGTAGACTCGGTGAGTCTGTTCTTGGACTCGGCGAGTCTGGTCGTGGGGTCCAAGTTTCTTTTGGATGAGCTGTGACTCGGTGAGTCAAGGGATGACTCGGTGAGTTGTGTGCGAGTAGACTCAGAGTTGTTGGACTCGGCGAGTCTCGGGGTGACTCGGCGAGTTGGGTCGCGGATTGAAGGAGGTTCTGTGTATGGGGACTCGGCGAGTCATCGGGTTGACTCGGCGAGTAGAGTCAGTCAGGGGTAGACTTTGACTTTGACTTTGACCAAGGGTTAACCAGTTGATTTCCAGGGGCATTTTGGTAATTGTTGAATATTGTTTTAAGTTCAGTGTATTGGTGGTTGGCGAGTGGTGGAGATCCTATCAGTAGTCGGAGCAGCTTGAGTTATCCGTTCAGCCGGCAGTTTCGAGGTGAGTTATCCTCACTATATCATCAGGGTCTACGGCACCAAGGCCGGCCCTTTATCGGATTGAGATCCGGGTATTTGTTGTTATGTGACGGCTTTGATATGTTTGCATCCTGGTAGTTAGGATGGTATATGTTAGAGACCGGGTTGAGGTCGGTATCCTGTTCTGTAGGGTGATGCTATGCTAGTGACCAGTTAGGTCGGTATCCTGGTTAGGATGATGATATGTTATGTGATCTACTTGATCGGCTTGTTGACTGTTAATTGTTATATGACTGTATGTTTATGTGCACATGGTTGTTTGGACTGGAGTTGGGTTGAGGCGGGTCCTACTTTGTGCTGTAGGCCAAGATACCCAGGGCGGACCGGTTGTCCCGAAGGCCCAGCGAGCGGTCCGGATAGGCTGTAGGCCCCAAGAGGGCAGACCAGACGTGCCGAGGCTCGGAGAGTGGACCAGACTGACTGAAGGCCCGGTGCGGGCGGACCAGTCATACTGTAGACTCAGAGAGTGGACCAGGTGGATTGAAGGCCCGGTGCGGGCGGACCAATCACACTGCAGACTCGAGGTATATGGATAGACTTGGAGGGTGGACCAGGTGGACTGTTGGCCAGTGCGGCGGACCAGTCACACAGTAGACCCGAGGTGCATGGCTGTTCTGTGATCGGATATGTATGGCATGTTATGCGTGTATGGTATATGTGGTTGGTATTTTGGGGATATCTCACTAAGCTTTCGGGCTTACAGTTGTGGTTTTATGTTTTTCAGGTACTTCAGGAGACCGTGGAAAGGCGAAGGCGTGATCGTACCGCTCCTCATGTTTTTGTTGTAATGTGATTCTGGGAATACTCTAAACAAATTGTATTGAAAACCTTTTTGTAATAATTTAATGGAATCGGGTTGTTTTTGAAAAATTTAAATTGGTTGGAATTTTTCGGTTGTTACAAGTTGGTATCAGAGCCTTGGTTTGAGTGAATTGGAGGAACACTCGTGTGACTCCAGTCTCAAATCGAGGAGGGTTTTCAAAAGAGAATTTAAAATGGTTTTCAAAACGAGTAAAGGAGGACGCGGAGGTACGATCAGCCGGAGCCAGTAAGTAACCCCAAAATACCATACATGATAATTGTTTTGAGCATTGTTAGAACAGCATGCTAGTGATAGGCTAGGGATCTCCAGGATTTCATGATAATGCTGCCTGATTTGTGATGCCTGTAGCCTAGGGTTTCCTTGTGGGAGATTTCCAGTGTTCCTCTAGTGGTGAGGGTTGAGCGCTTGTTTGTATGTTTTCTCTAGGGCGTTGTGGTAGTACTTCATACAAATATGGGTAGGTGTGGAAGGTAGTATGGGCCCGTATTACTGAAAGCACAGGACCCATACGCGTATCAGGGAAACCATGATCCCTAGGGTTGGGTTGAGAGAGTTGGTTCCCGGGATAGTGGGAAGTATCTGAGATTCTGTGGTGTTTCTTTTCAGTATGGAGATTCCGACGCATGATGGGAGTGGATCCGGGTCAGGATCGGGAGCAGGAGAGGGAGTTCCGGATGGGTCAGTACCGCCCGAGGTTATGGATCAGAGGAGCTCGTGCGAGTTGGATGCAAGGATTCGTGAGATCCTGCATGATGAGGTTGCTGCGTTGTTCCGGGCCGAGTTGCCGGAACTGTTTGGGTCGATCAAGACCGCCATGATCGAGTACTTTGATGAGCGCTATGCAGCTCTCACAGAGACGGCCGCCGCGGCGGCTACAGCGGCTGTAGCAGCGGCAGGGGGAGGAGTTGGTCGGGGTTTTCAGTATCGGGACTTCGATAATACGAAGCCTCCCACCTTTGATGGAGTTCAGGACCCGATTGTTGCTATGAGATGGTTATCGGACGTGGATGGGTGTTTCTTCACGTGTTCATGCCCTGCTGATCAGAGGGTGAGGTGTGCTCTGAACCTATTGAGGCTCGGGGCGAAGGATTGGTGGAGGTTGACCACGGGGTCATATTCGGATGCGCAGAGGGCTGCGGTTTCATGGGATCAGTTCAGAGAGATGTTCAGCACTCGTTATGTTCCGCGGGTGGAGAGAGAAAGATTGGCTCAGGAGTTCCTTGAGCTGAAGCAGGGTTCGGAGTCGGTGACGGAGATCACCAGGATGTTCACCGTGAGGGCGATGTTTTGCCCTGAGTTCGCTTCGGAGCAGGCTCAGATGTCCCGATATCTGAGTATGCTCAAGAGAGATATCATACAGTTTGTGTCTACGCAGAGGTGCGAGACTTTATTAGAATTGCAGGAGGCCGCCAGGCGGCGTGAGTTAGAGATTGAGTTACAGTTGCGTGAGTTGAGGCAGGCTCCGGTGCAGTCGCAGCCGGCGCCGAAACAGTCCAAGACCGTTGATTCCAGGGTGGGAGAACAGAGTAGTCACACTTGTGGGAAGTGTAGGAGGGGTCACACCGGAGTTTGTAGGTCCGGTGGCGCATGCCGCAAGTGCGGAAAGGAGGGGCACTATGCGAGGGATTGTCGACAGTCAGCGCAGGTTCGGGATTTGAGGATTTGCTATCATTGTCATCAGGTTGGGCACTTGAGGGTCAACTGTCCCCAGATTGCTACAGAACCGGTGCAGGCTCCAGCACCGGCCACTTTGAGGATCACGGGTGGAGGTCAGGGTGGAGCGGAGCCCCCAAGGGCTCAGGGTCGTGCTTTTCAGCTTACAGCAGATGAGGTCCGAGCAGTGTCGGATACAGCTGCGGGTATGTTTCTTTCTTGATGTCTCATTATCTTGTGATTGTTGGGGAGTATTGTTTATCTGCTAGTCTCTTTGTGTGGCTTTCGGTATGGTATTCGTTGTTCTTTGAGGGTTATGGTATGGTTTTGGGTTTAGTATTGGGAATTTCGTTGGTTATCATTCATGAGGGTTATTAGTGGAAATTGGCTTTTGGTCTGAATGACGGGTGGCATCTGCATTCTGAGGGATGGTTAGCTGAAGATCGACTTGCTGTCAAGCTCGGAATGGTCAGTGTTGATATGAGAGTTGTGAAGGTTGCTCGTGCTAATGGGAATCAGTTCGCGTGCAAGTGTTGGTCTTGAGCAGGGTTAT